CTAAAATGAACAATGCAACAAACTTGATCATTTAAATGATAATCCAGAGTTTGTAAGTGTTCTCATAGTGTGGTTCTGCCATACTGGTAAGGAATAGTTCATTTGTAATTTCAGACTCAACCGTCAGATGTCCCAAATAAATAAAGGCATTCTTTAAAGATAAATAGAAAAGAACATTGACAGCTTTTTTGAATATGAAATTTAGTTTCAGTGGGTAACCTTTACCCAACAAAGACCATATACTAATATTTGAAATCTACAAAACGGATTATTGGTGTCACTGACACTGAGAGTTGGATAAACTCGGAAACCATTTAGTCCAACTACCTCATTTTGCAGATAAGGAAACTGAAGTGCTGGGAAATTAAATGATCTGCCCAACGTCACACTGTTAGCAAGGGGCAGAGCCAGGAATGTGAGCCTAGATCTTATTCCAAATCTAGCACTCTGTGTGTGTTGAGTTTAAAAATTATGTAAGAGATCGTGTTTAGACTCCCTACCACTTATGTTGATGAATGATGAGTCTTAAACTCTTATGTTTTTGTTATTAGATTGAATCTGAAACTGCAGCATCTGAGGAAACCTTATACAATGCCTCTCAGCGCATAAATGAGCTAGAAAGGAATGTAGAAGAACTTAAGAGGAAGGCTGCCCAGAACACTGAGGAGGCGGGCTACATAGGGCAGGTAGTAGATACCGTAAAACAAAATGCAGATGATGTTAAGAAGGTAAGTGAAGTTTTACAGCCGCATAGCTTTGGTGACAACGAAGTAGCTATCATCCAGCAAGCCTTAATAAATAGAATCTACAACTCAAGGCTATTTACTTAGCAGAACTCAACTTAATCCCTTTCTTGCTTTAGCTATGTTTTTGCAATAACATGGTCAATGAAAGATTCTAACAATAAGGTAGAAGCTGCCTTAGTTTTATGTTCAGCAAACATGAATAACTTTTTTCTAATATTTGAGGACATGGTTATCACCAGTAAGTCCTTAATTAAGGAAGGAAATTAGGTAATTACAGAGAATCATAAAGCACAATATCATGCTGGAAAACAAATGTCTTTTCTAGTTGCTTTGTTTTTTTAAATGGAAAAAAGCTCTATAAGTGGTGTCACTGACGTATAGAGGCTTCACATTTTGGGCTATCCCTAGACCTTTTGGAAAAAATAACACCATGGAAAAAGCATAATCTAAAACAGTTATCTTCTTCATTGTACTTAATTTCCTGCCAGGTGCTGGTATGTTAAACATAACAGTCTGCTCAGACAGTATTTACATAAGATGGTGAAGAACAAAGCCCCTTAAAATTAAATTTCCATACACCTAGCTATTGTTTGAATTATATTTCTCAAAGGAGTAATTTGTAATTAAGTCATGTGTCCTTCTGACTCTTCAAATGTTGTTTCAGTCTTATCTGTGCCTTTCTATAAGTTTAACATTAATGTGATGTTTGAATTAAAGAATCACTAAAATGGAATTTGAGAAGCACCCATCGGTAATGAGGACCAATGACATAATGAGGATGATGTCTTGGCTTTCCTGTGAATTGGATTTAAGTCAGGCAGAACTGCCCAAAGTCATCAGCCTCACTCGCTTCTTCAGAGTAATCAAAGTCCAGTGGCAAGACAGAAGTCAAGATGACTAGCAATGGCCCAGGATGCAGTGGATAACCTTGGCCTTTTCAATAAAGGCTGGCTTATCTAATGTCTAAATCTGGCTAAGTCTGAAAATTGATGGCTTTTATGTTGGCTCTGACCTCCAAGTTCTCTTCTTAAAATCACGTGGACTATACAGAGTCGGACTAGATCCAAACATCTTTGGTTTATAATATAGGATTTGGCCCCAACTTACTTTTACAGCTGACAAAATTCAAGGCCAGAAAGGTTGAGTCAAAGGAAGCTGTGAACCTAGTTTTTCTAACTTCCAGTCCAATTCAATTTCCATATGATTACAAGTAATTCAAAATTATCAATTACTTTAATGTTTGTTTCATAGTAATATCACCTTACGCAGCATTTACATACATGAAGCCATTTGATTCACTAACGTCAGGGTGGCCAGCCAACTACCCATTTTATAGATGAGGAAATAGGTTCAAAAAGAGTAGAGCCTCAGTTTTACCCTGACTCCTCCAGTTTGAGTGTAAACTGAATCCCCTTCTCTGGTCCTATCTGGGGCTTGTGTTTGTTGCATGACTTTGCAACTAACTACCATCTTGTGTCTAAACTTGGTACTGCAGATCCTTGACAGTGAACTTAGTGGAAAGTATAAAAAAGTAGAAAACCTAATTGCCAAGAAAACTGAAGAGTCAGCTGATGCCAGAAAGAAAGCAGAAATGTTACAAAATGAAGCTAAAATACTGCTCGCCCAAGCAAACAGTAAGCTCCAACTGCTAAAAGGTAAATGTTGTTTCTAGAAAAATGGCTATTTGGGACTATGGGAAGTATAATAATTTTTCCCTTAAGTACTACATTTAAATGCAAAATACTGTATTATTAAATTTAGCATTTAGGGGAAATATCCATTTTTTTTTCATTTCTGCAGATTTGGAGCAAAAATATGAAGACAATCAAAAATATCTAGAAGATAAAGCTCAAGAATTGGCAAAACTAGAAGAAGAAGTCCGTTCACTTCTACAGGACATAAGCCAAAAAGTTGCTGTTTATAGCACTTGTCTGTAACAAAGCCAGAAGGGACAGAAATGGATGAGACCAAAGTATTAAATCAATTGTATTTTTTAAAATGTAGTTAATGCATTGATGTTAAAATGAAACAATGTCCACTTTTGCTTATTTAATTTTTTTAATTACCAAATGTTTTTTAATGAAGTTACAAATAAAGTACAAATGCACTTTTTGTATAGAGGTGCATCTAGTTAGATTTGTTCTTTGTTTTATAAAACTAACTTACTACAACTATGAACGCTTCAATGATGGGGGCTGTGATTCCTTAATTCTTTTTCATTTTGTTACCTCCAGTTTCAAAGGAAAATAGCACTAAGAATTTCTGTGCTACAAAAAGTAAAGTCACACTGATCTTTCTGTCCACTATAAAGGAAAAAGCAGATAAAGTATTTAAAAAAAAAAACTACTAACATCTGGGCTACATTAATGGATCTTGAGGATCAAAACTACTTTCTCATACCAGAGACACCTCAAATAAGGCAGTGGCATTGAGGTATGAAGGTCCTGTCAGAAAAGGGAAGTCTTCCTATCCATAGCAACTGAATAAAACCACTAAGACAAGAAAAAAAAATGTGCTGGATGTGGAGTCAAGAGAACCTGGGTTCAAATCCAGACTCTTCAGTTTCTATCTGAATGGCCTTGGCCCCTATCAGTGATGTCAAACTCAAATAGATGTTAAGCACAAATTGACATAGAAAAGCACAAGTTAACATTATCTAGGTTATATTTTTATTTGTTTTGTTAAACATTTGCCGATATCATTTTAATCCAGTTTGGGCCCAAGTTTGACACCTCTGATTTCCTTTTCATGCCAACTCTCTTCCAAGTAACTAACTCCTTTTTCCCCATAGGTGTATCAATTTGGGGTTCAGATTTGATTTGGTGAAGTCACAGTAACAGACAATAATTAAATCTGAAATAAGGTTCCAATACTCTAAGTGGCTGAAAGTTTAGTAACGTTGGTATATTGCTAAAAGGAAAAGGAGTGAATCCTTAATAATTATGACATCTTACCTTTTCACGTCACCAAATAAAATCAAGAATGCCAGAGGCACCAACTCTGCTGAACAACTAAATAAGCTAAGCCACCAAACTTTAAGAGTTAAACCCACCCTGAGTACTTATATTTGAGTGATAGTATATGCAAATAATCTAATATCTTAAACATTTTCATATTTTAAAAATAATATGTACATATATTCATTCTGACTGCATTTAGTAAGAATTTCTGAACCATCACTACAAATTTTTTCCCCTTTAGGAATTACTAGGTTTCTTGACTGAACATACTCCAAAGTTAATAAATGCCTACCGAACCATCCTACAGTAATTTATATTGTTACATAGGTACAGACCTATTTCTCCTTTAGTACTCAATATATAACAATGCGTAATTTTAAGAGTAACCATTACAAGAGGAAAATGGTCATTCTATTTTCATTAACAAATATAATTTTATAGCATTTTTAGAAATAATTCACATAGTATTAGAAAAACACTTTATCTGCCTATTTCCTGGATACACTGGAGAATGAATGAAATAACTAAATAAGAGAATAGGCAAGTTCAGAGTTTCGTTAATGTCGTGGCTTTCTCCAATGCATTATCTACTTTCAGATCTGTTCACAGAACATATATCCATGTATCTAAAATGGCTCGCCATTTTCCCAAAACATAGAAAATACTGAAGATCCGACCCTTAGCATAAACATTTTGATTTGAAAATTATTCTTTTTTAAGACTGAACCAGAAAGTCTTAGACCTTATAAAATTTACATTCCAGAGATAGTCATAATCCATTTTAGTGAACAGCAAAGTCCCAAATGCATGATATTAGATTGTAGCAGTGTCATCTGAATGTACTTAATACCTCTTACTCATTTACAATGATATGACCTTGGAAATTCCATTTCCCCCCCAAACATTTCTGTCTCTGGACTATAAAAATTCAATGGTTAAATAAAAATTAAATGATTAACATTTCCTACATTTACACTATTCTATTATACACTTTTGAACTTTTTATTCATTTTAATTACTTGTTTCCAATATGAAAACCAAGTATAAATCACTAGATCCACCTATCTTTAAATGTAACTCACTTCATATACTGTAGTCCAACTACACCAATGCAAGTACATTCAACTTGACTGAATCAGGGGAAGAAATAAGTGTTTTGGGGTGGAAACTAATTAAGCAGTTCTTATAATGCTACAGAATCTAGCTTATGTAATTCTTACCAAATCTGTAGATTCGTAGTTACCTGCTATCCTTTAAGTTTTATTTCTGCAGTACTCAATGCACAGAAAATCAATGATTGTTAAATTTATTTAATATATAGCTGCTGGATCATTCGGCTTCATCCAAACTTGTTTATTAAATATTTGCTGTCTGAACAAAAACATTACTTAATTCAGTCTTAGTCTCAGAACTGTGAGCCTTCCACATTAGAAGCCCTCCACAAAAATCTTTCAGATATTTCAGAAGAAAAGTATATATCATTTCATTTTAAAAGTTGATTGCTTTGCCAAAAGATGCAGCTAGGTTTGCTTCCCTGAAAGCTTCTGATACAGTCTGTAAGGAGAAAAAAAATATCCAAATAAGACAAGTTGGTAGCAGAAAAAAGTCCTAGAAATATATTCTACGTTGAAAATAGTTACCGGATGGGCATGACAAACTCTTGCAACATCTTCACAGGATGCTCCATACTCCAAGGCAAGGGCAGCTTCATTTACCATTTCTCCAGCACCCTTTAAAGTAATAAGCCATGCTGTAATTCTATTTCTATGGCAGTAATACACACACACGCATACACATATATATATGTATATTCTAATTTTTTTTGTTTCCTATTAAATTCACTGGTAACTTATTTTATTTGATCTTTTTTACCAATACCCTCTGAGCTCACAGAGAAGGATCAGTTTTACGAGCCTTGGTACCTATCTATCCACTAGCTGGATTTTAAGCTTCTTGAGTGCAGGGCAAAAACCGTATTTTAAACAAGCCTATTTCCCTAAAAGTGATGACAGCACATAGTAGGTGTTCAACATGTTCACAGAATCATAGACTTAGGGCTGGAAGCTCATTAAGTACAACCCCCCTTTTATGGATGAGGAAACTGAAGCACAGAGCAGCTGACTTGCCTAAAGCCACAGAGCAATGAAACAGCAGAACTGGAATTCAGACTCAGATCCTTTGATTCCAAATTATGCTGTTAAATAAGGAATCCTGTGACAAATAAGATAACATCCTATAATCGGTGTTTATAAAGTTTGTATTTTTATACTCAGTTTAGAAAAAAAAATTCTATACCTGAAGGGTATAAAATAAGAAATAGAGACACATAAGAAAGAACAATCTTCCCAATCATGGTAAGCTGTATATTTGCCAACTTACTTTATGCATACTATAAAAACTATCACCTGCTAAAACTTTTGAAGAAAAAGTCCAATGTCAGTATTGTTTTCTTAACCCAAACAAAACCCTGAGTTATGTTATTTCAACTGACCCATCTTTCTAAAACCGATTCCCTTTGAATTATAGAATTTGAGAGGTCAAGGGAACCTCACCAGCCATCTGGTCTAACGCACACACAGACAGAACTCTTGTATTCCTTTAGGGTTTATACAGCAATAAAGCTGAGACAAAAAGAAGATAATACTATGCAACAGTTGCTGAGTGAATGTATTCACTAAGAGTGCTGGATCTGAATTCACCTGCAGGACTCTGGGCAAGTCTCTGAGCTTCAGTTTCCATATCTGTAAAATGAACAAGTTGAACCAGAGGACCTCTGAGGTTTCCAGATTTGAAGCTATGACCCTCTGCAGTATATTTTGGCGTTTAGTTTCTGCAAGAAGGGAATAAGAAAAGGAGAGTGCAAAAGCAATGGAAATCAAGGCCCACTCATTGTTTGCAGGCTTAGCCCAACCTCTGCTCACTTTCACTAGTAGTTTACAACAATTCTCGTTAGTTTTTCAAAGCCACAGAACAGTTTCTCCATCTAAAAGCATATATATTTTCTCTGACTTTTACCAACACATAAAAACTGAACTTCAAAGAAATAACTTCAAAATCTTGGATTTTAAGTTAGCTCAGCTGGGCAAATGCCAAATAAAGTAAATAGGACAGAGAATGTTTCTATGATCTCTATAATACCTTATCTTTCCCCCAAACCCTCAGGAATTTCCCTGTTACTGCTGGGGGTACCATAATACTCCCAGTCATCCAGGCTTATAACTTGGTGTCATCCTCAACTTACTCAAGTTTACAACTTTCTCATGCTCACCCTTCCATGAAGCCAACCTACTCCCAAGTCTTACTGTTTTTGCCTTCATAACAACTCACATACATCTTGTCTCCTCTGACCCTGCCACCACCCTCACCACTTCACACCTGGACTATTGCACGCACAATCACTCTTTTCCTGTACTCTATGGCTGAATCAAACTGGCCTTCTGGTTCCTGTATATAACATTCCCTCTCCCACTTCCATACCTTTGCACAGGCTGCCCTCTATGCCTGAAACATTTACCTTCTTCACTGCTCTCTGGAACCTCTTCTCCACTCCCTTCAATAGTCAATCCAAATGTTAACTTCAAGGTCTTTCCCAATATCCCCTACTAGTTCAACTTGCAGGGAATGTCTCAGTTTTTAACTTTATTTATAACACCTACTGCAATGCCTGGTACGTGGTGGACACTTTAAAATGTTTCTAAATTGACTGAAAAATTAAACTGCAATGAGGCTATGCTTTGCAAACAACTGGAATTTCTCTGGTTTCACAATACTCACTGCTCCTAGAATATGAGCTCCCAGTATTCTGTCTGTTGATTTCTGACCAAGGATCTTCACCATGCCATCTGTGTCAGCATTAGTCTTAGCTCTGCTATTGGCAACAAAAGGAAACTTTCCAATTTTGTACTCAATGCCCTGTGAAAAACAGATAGTGAGTAATACACATAAAAGTATTATAAAACCTCAATCCATTTGGTGGAACATCTACTAATTGGTTCAATATATTGCTCACAGAGAATATTTATTCACAAATGACTTTTTAAAAAGAAACAAACTATCGGTAGAAAAAGTAAGTGAATGTGACTATAAACATAATCACAGAACATTAGATCTGGAATGAATCTTAATAAACAACTGCCTAAACTAACATTTTACAGAATGGAAAATTGAGGTCCAAGTAACCATATCATGATCACACAGCAAGTAAAGAGCCAGAGTCAGAACTTCCTTCCCACCCAGCACCTCTCCCTCCCCTTCCCTGCCCCGACTGGGCCAGTGTTCCTCCCACCATTGCTCTGTATTATGTTCTACACTATGACGCTCACTAGGCAAACACAAGTATAAATGACATTTGGATAATTTAGTGTTTTACACTATGTGAAATAAGTAAATTAAAAATCTACTGGTAATAGCTTTTAAAATGCTGAGAAAATGATTACAAACCAAACTTTAACAATTTTAATAAAATTACTCAAAGATGACACCCATAAATAAGGTAGATAACCATAGCTGTTGCTTCTAAACAACAGCTAGCTAACCCAAGTATTGTGGTTTTAGTTTAGTTTACACATGTGGCCCAGAGAATCTAAGTTAAATTCTCATTACCTCTTCTTTCAATTGCTCTTCTGATTTACCAACCCATGCAACTTCAGGATGTGTATAGATTACTGAAGGCACACAATTGTAGTCGATATGTACAGCGCCCCCGGCCATTCCTTCAACACAGATAATACCTTCATCTTCTGCTTTGTGAGCTAACATGGGACCAGCAATTACATCTCCAATAGCAAAGATACTGTATCACAAAATGACAAGAAAAACAGTGCTCAGTGAAATCTTAGGCACTAAATACTCAAACAGTAAAAGCAAATCATACCAAAAAAAAATCTACAGGTTAAGTCTCTAACTCCCAAATTTCACAAAATCTAATTTCATAAAATCGATAAACCCACATCCCAGAATTTTAAAGTTTCATATATTCACCATAGTTGACTCCCCCCATAACTCATTTAAAATTTTCTGTATCTTATAAATCTCACTTTCAAAATAGGAATATCTGAAATAGAATCTAAAAAGTTTATTTAAAATGTTTACAATTATCTGACTTACTTTGGAATTTTGGTTTGGAATCTGGAATTGACTGGGATTCTACCTTTGGGATCCAGGTCAATTCCAAGTTCTTCCAGTCCCAAATTTTTGGTGAAGGGTCGTCGGCCAACACAAACCAAGAGTACATCACAAGTGAGAACTTCAGCTTTTCCACCAGAAGCAGCTTCCACTCTAAGCAAAAGAAAATACAAAGTCTTGGTAAATATGAGCCAAAATATATTTGAAAGTAAAGACATTAACTAAAACGTTACTAATGCCCAGAGGTTAGTTTTTTAAAGTTCTGCAACAACAAAGACCTTTCTAAGAATAAGAAAATTAAGTAGTATTGGAATGATTTCACAAGTTTAGAATACAGTTCACAATCTGCTCATAACTCAATCACAGAAAGCTGACTGAAAGGGGCAGCTAGTTGGCACAGTGCATAGAGCTCCAGCCTTGGGGTCAGGAGGACCCGAGTTCAAATCTGACCTCAGACACTTGACACTTAACTAGCTGTGTGACCCTGGGCAAGGCACTTAACCCCGGATGCCTCACCAAAAACAAAACAAAAAAAAAAAGCTGACTGAGACTCACAAAGGTTGGGTAAGAGCAGAATTTGAACCCAGGTCTTCTTCCCAATTTCAAATTCAGCATTTTATCCATTATGCTACACTGTTTTTCCCTTCACATATCATAGCAGTTAATGTGAGATGATCAAAAATGAAATTCTTGCTCAAAGTTATCTACTACAGATCTACCACTAAGAACTCCTGGGCACACACACAAAAAATTGGCTTATTTTCCCTCATACCTCATTCAGACATTTTGAGGGTTTTCGTTGTTTTGTTTTGTTTTGTTTTTGCTTTTCGATGAGGCAATTGGGGTTAAGTGACTTGCCCAGGGTCACAAAGCTAGTAAGTGTCAAATGTCTGAGTCCACATTTGAACTCAGGTCCTCCTGGCTCCAAGACCAAAGCTCCATCCACTGCGCCACCTAGCTGCCCCTCATTTTGAGGTTTTAGCTTTCTAAAACAGAATGGTTCAAAGTAAATTATTTTCTATGGTTCAACATAAGTTACAAATTTATTAGTTCCTAATGAGTTTTATAAATACTTCAACTATTTAACTATCTTCTAATTTCATTTAGTTTCTCGTGTTAAAAATCTAAAGCCTTAATTGCATATCAAAATTTAGAAATACAAAGAAATTTTGTTTTGTTATTAAAACACTAAGGTAAAAAGTCCTTTTAGGAGATAAAATAATCTTCAGTTGGAGTTCAAATCAACACTTACCAAAATGCCTTTAAAGTCTGAATGTTTGACGTATACACAAAAATCTTCATAAAAGGATTAATACATATAAAAATAAATGCACCACACTTACGCAACATCAATTTTTCCATCTGGTTTCTTGGTAGCCCCAGTAACTTTGGTATTTAGTTTAAACTTAAATCCCTGTTTCTGAAGGATTCGCTGAAAATTTTTAGAAATCTCCATGTCAATTCCCATACCACCAACGTGACCTAAGAACTCGATTGCTGTCACATCTGCACCAAGTCGTTGCCATACTGAACCCTGCGAGTAACACATCATGAACACAAATATGAAACTAAAAAAACTACATATTTCAAGGATAAAATAAATTAGAAAATAATGTACTATGCTGTTTAAAATAAGAAGCCCAAGAAATCTTAATTTAGTATCTTATTTTTTGATCTTATGCAGCAATTCAAGTTGCTAGTCACTACAAAGGTGAAATTATACCTGTCAAACTGGCCTATAACATAACATATTCACTTCTTCAATGAAGACGTTCTAGAAAACATGCATCTTCCATTCAAAATCAGTTCCCAAAGCTAACTGTTTATGTTCAATTTATCTTAGGAGTACAGTACAATTTTTGAAATTATGCTCACCTTTTTTTTTTAAAAGAAAGATTCCCCCCCCACACACATTTTTAATAAGGAATAGTTATAAAGGATAGAAATTATATTTTAAAATAATTTCATCCAGAAATATGAACAAATGTTCAAGAAATTATGCATAAGAAATAAGAGGAATATAATTCTTTATAGCATAAGTAAACAATTAGAAAAATGGGAACAAATATTTTGAAGTAATTCATTATTATCCTCCAACAATTCAAAAGTAAACCGTAAGATAAAAAAGTTTTATTTTTAACTAAATTAGAGAAAAATATTTGCTTAAGTGTGTCAATTTATGAAAGTATTTATCAATGTTATAGAATGTGATCAAAGATTTTACTACATGGAATGGTAATAAGAAAACATCAGCTAAATATCAGCTTCATACAGATTTCATCGCTAGTGGTAGAGACTTCAGGTCTTAGAAGACTCTTTTTACCCTCTTCCATAGTGAAAACACCCAACTCAGCTTATATGAATCACCAATCTTCCTACCTTCATGACTAGCATTTTCTTTTATTTCAAACTTGACAAATATCATATTGTTTACCATCATTTGTTAATAGTTAAGGTTTATATGAATTCATATATCGAATTATTAAAATCTAATTCCTAAGAATACTGAGATGTACACACACACACACATAAAATCTTTAACATTCATATAAAATTTCCCTAAGAAAAATACCATGAATGATACTTTTGCAACTTATTTTATAAAACTGGCCTAGCATCACGCAAAGAGGATTTCAATAATCTATTTTTTTTTTTTGGAAGTCTCATTCCGCTAAAGATAGAATCATCAGACAAATTCCTGTCATGCCCTATTTAAACAATTCCGTTACTCAGAAGGTAACTGAAACAAGGGAGTCAATTATTCCCTCAGCCAGACTTAGTTCTCACCAGCAACAACAACAAACAACAACAAAAAAGAACTGGCTGAGGATGTGAAAGTGACAGGAAACTTGAGATAAAGTGGCCATATCATATTAGAATTCAAAACAGCTAAGTGGAACACTAAGCTTAGTCAAATACGTATCTAAATTATAATTAAGGAAGTATATATTTTACATAAACATTCTATCACCTGCTAAAAGAAATATTTATACATCTTCATAAATCAAATTATATTTCTCAATAATACAACTATGTATATAAATGTGAGCATGAATATTCCTACCTATAAATAACACTGCAGTAATTACACACATCAAGCCCACATCAGTATCTATACTGATATCTACCCTAACTATGCATACCTGAATGAAAAACAAAATGCATGAAAAAAATCATTAATGCCCAGTTATAAAATGCAGCTTAACTGGCAGCCCGAGGGGGCATGTGGATGTGGGTATATTGAAATATGTACGGGTGTGCTCAGGCCCGTAAGAGGAGAAAACTAAACAGTACTTTTCAAAGATCTCAAACTTCTCAATGTCTCCAAAGATCAAATCTTTAACAGTGACCAAATATTCTTCTTGAGACATTATATAGCTATCAATTAGAAATACGACCATCTACGAAAACCCCAAATCAGAGGGGACCTAAATGGAAAATTAAAAGACATGGCTGGGTGTAAATATGATGGAGGATACTGACATTAATGTCTTGTGTATATAATCACATACACACATAAATGTTTATGTATAATAAGAGTTGGAAGAAATAACAAAGGTCATCCAGTTTAACTCCCAAGCCAGATCAAGAATCTTCTTCACAATGCAATGCAGATGTGTTGTGTGTGCATGTGTGTACATGCATGCTTGCATGCAGACAACCCCCCCCCCCCCACTTACCAATTCCACACCTATTACTCCTGCACCAATGACAACCATCTTTTCTGGAACTTTTTTTAAGCATAAAGCACCTGTAGATGATACAATTGATTCTTCATCAATCTATAAAATCAAGCAAAAAAGATATTGAATTAAAAACAACCTGTGAAAAATTAGTGGGGTTCTATAAACTGTAGCCATCACTTAACACCATCACTAAAATGTCTTTTTTTCTGAAACCTTACCTACAATGTCAAATTTTACTGGAATATGTTAGAAAAAGCTCATTTGAAAATGTGTACCAGCTATCATGTTTGGAAACAAAATGATAAGTTTAATCTAAAGACAAAGCTAAGACATTTTAATACTCTTTAGTAGTGGACCAAATATGTTCAAAACAAAAGAGAATAATTTATGAAAAACACTTCTAATAAAAGTAATTATAAATTATACCGTGATTCCAGGGAAGGGAGTAACCTCTGAACCCGTGGCTATGAGAATGTTTTTTGTATTGATAACCTGAGAGCTGCCATCAGACTTTGCTGCCATGACCTGATTTTTGCCTGTTATCTTTCCGTATCCATCCACACGGGTGACCTTTGAAAAAGGATAACATTTACAGAAGAGTAAACAAACTTAACATGAACATACACTCAGTAGAAAAAAACAATGAAATAACATCCTACTAGCTGAGGCTTATTACACACAGTGCTTTAAGATTTGTAAAGTACTTTACAAAGTTATCTCATTTTATCCTCATAACAAACCTGGGACACAGGTAACTTATGATCTCCACTTTACAGATGAGGAAACGATAGCTTGGAGAAGGTAAGTGACTTGCCTAGGGTCACATAGCCAGCAAGTGTCTGTGATGCTATCTGGATGCTGGTCTTCCTCATGCCAAGCCCAGCACTCTAACTACTGTATTACACCATATACTTATCAAGTATGAAATTCTGAAACAGTGGTTTTTCATTAAAGCAGCTTTACTAACTTTGGTAAAAGATTTCAGAGGAATTACTTTGAAGCTAGATTAAATATGCCCTAAAATGGAAAATTATGCTGTCATATATCCTATGTTCCAAATAAACTGTATTACTCTTTATTCCCAATATAAAAACTAGGCTTTCTCACTCCTATGCCTGGAACACCTACTCCTTGCCTTGACATCTGGTCATCTTTCAAGATACAGCTCACATGACACCTCTTCTAATAAAGCCTTCCCTAATTCCCCTCATCTGGAAGTGTTTTTTCCCCTCATATTTATTTATCCACGTTTAGATCTATCACTCCCACTAGGCTGTAAAGACCTTCAGAACAGAGACTATGATTTATTATCTGTCCTAATGCCTAACACATAGTAGACTACATATGCTAAGACATTTTAAAATTTTTGAATCCATGAGTTAAAATTCCAACATACTATTTGATGCCATGTTTTACGAAAAGCTAAACTATTGTCAGAAAAAAAATTATTTTACATGAAATAAAAAAACCTGCATATAAAACAAACCTTATTTTGCTTAAATAAGTGAGCAATTCCACCAGTTAAAGCCTTTACTGCAGAATTCTTTTGCTCCATCATCTTCTCTAAATTCAAGCGGATTTCTGAAACTGTAAGTTGTTAAATAGATATTTAGATGAGTCTTTAGTCATATTTGAAGACAAATGTTAGAATAATTCATTTTCCTGAAACCATGTTTCCACTTATCAGATTTCTAGAATAAGTTAGATCACAGAACACTATTTTTCAACTATGTACCATATTACAACTATCTAGGGAACACTACGCATTCAGGAGTCAGCCTATTAATGACTTTCTCAAAAGCTATGTCCCTCCGGCAATCTCCTAATTTCTCTTCCCACTTGATGGGTAATGACCAAAACAAAGATTTGAAATCCTAAAAAGAATTAGCTCACTGAGGTAAAAAACATTTTTAAAAGGCAAAACTGAAAAGCTCCAAAATATGGTAAAGATTTATATAAGTGTGATCAACTATGTTTTAATCACCAGTCACATGAGACTTTGGGACCCATATATGAAAAAGGCATAAAACAGAATTGCTTAAACCTAGAAGACTTTAACTGTATGGCATATAACGAGGAAAGAGCACTGGATTTGGAATCTGAAGACTCTTGTTTGAATATGGGCTCTCTCATTCACAAGCCGTATGATTTTAAGCAACTTAGTTCACCTCTCGGCTCTCACTTCAACTATAAAATGAGAGGGAAAGGCTTAGTCTCTTAAATTTCTTTCAGTTCTAAACTCCCAGTATCTTAAGGTATTTGCCCAAAGTCACATGCTAAGGCATTGTGGTAGAGTTGGATAAAGCACTGAACTTAAAAGCCAGGCAGACCTAGGTCAGCATCCTGCCTCAGACACTTTCTAGCTGTGCTACACATCATTTAACTTTTGTTGTTGCTGTTTGGTCATTTCAATCGTGTCTGACTCTCTGTGACCCCATTGGGAGTTTTCCTGGCAAAAATACTGGAGTGGTTTGCCATTTCCTTCTCCAGTTCGTTTGACAGATGAGTAGACTGAGGCAATCTGACTTAAGTTACTTACTCAGAGTCACACAGCTAGTGATGGAGGCTACATTTGAACTCAGGTCTTCCTGACTCCAATTCCAGCACTCAATCCACTGTATCACCTAGTTGCCCAATCACTTAACCTACTGGGCATCAAATCTCTTACCTGTAAAATGAGAGCTGGACTCAATGACCTAAAGACCCTTCCAGCTCTAAAACTTCTACATTACTATGCTACTTATTCGCCATATAATCACAAGCAAGTCACTGAAGCTCTGAGTCTGTTTCTTCTATTAAATGGAGATAATACTCATACTATCTGCTTCATGGGGTTTACTCAGCAAACCTTATAGTACCATATAAATGTTAAATTATATTTATCATATTCACACTTGGGAGTCATGACCTAACCTGAGGTCTCTTGACTCCAAGCTAAATACTCTTTCTGCTATGGTATGTTCATGTTTAATCATGTTTTAGGTGAAATTTGCCTCCATCCCTACAATTCTCCACCACCATGGTTTGCCTAGATTGTAGCCTCTTCTTCTGGAAGACTACTGTGATCAATAGACAAGTGGAAGTAAGACAGTACTAGGCTATTTGGTTTTTCTCTCTGGGCGACATACTTCTATGTAAGTCTTGTCAACAATACTAGCTCGAGAGAAAGAATGGTGAAGACAAATATGATGAGATAAAACTTGACAAAAATGTCATTCCTCTGTATAGTAAAACTACCCCCTGCTCCTCTTCATGGTCGATGTCTTACTTGAGGTTCCTTGTCTTGTCTATATTTTACCTTCGAGTCCTCAAGGCCTAATCTGCTCTGGTTGTTGCTCCAGGAGAAGCAGCACAGCCTATACCAGAGGTCTCTAGATAGATGTCAGAACCTGGTCTAGTAGACTCCACACTGTTTCTCTTTCTACAATAGTATCTCTCTAATACTTGTCTGAATTCCCAGGTGTCAGCGCTCCCTCCTCATGCTGCTTGGTGCCTTTATTGTTGACATCCATTCAACTCTCTAGAGATTAAGATTTTAGGAAATGAAAACTAGTTTCTCCTCAAAAAAAGGTTGTGGAACCCTGGACTAAGTTTCTAAACTCCTCCATCTTCCCTTTCCTAATTCAATGCTCCCTTTCACAAAGATCCTCTTATCATCTAGAAACGTCTAACCATTTGTCTAGTGCTACGGAGCTACTGCAGGAAAGACAATGGCAAAGGAAAGAAAGGCGGTAATCTGGGAGCCTGAAAACCACTGTTCTTTCCAAGCCAAAATTTTCCCATATTTTCTTTAACTCTTAACTTTCTCTATTATAGAAACATCTGTTTTTTAGAAAAGTGTGTCAAACTGTGTACTTAACTTAATTTTAACTATGAATTGTATACTTACTTTCAATTCCTCTAGAGGCAAAATCTTTATGAGCCAAATGATAAAAATGTGAGTTATTCAATAAAGCCTGAAAAGAAGAAAAGAAAAAGAAAAAAGAACTCAAAAATCACAGCACTTATAAACAAAGGTGAGGATAGAAAGCAATTATGGATGTCTTTATCCATAACTGTGCCCAGTACTCTTATCCATTAAGAGCTTCCTGAATAAACAGATAGAGTGTAAAAAGGGAAAAGACTCAGAAAGGGAAGTTGGATTCAATTACTCAGTCAATTCAAATTCATTTAGTACATTATTCGAGATACTTCGGAGAATACAAAGTGAATAAAAACACTGTCTGTGCCTTCAAGGAGCTTACCAAAACTAACTGTCAGAGGAGATATGGGAAGATAGGACTGTTAGGGTTGTGCTGACTAACTCATTCTGGATAAATCTGGAATTATGATGAGGAAAGTTATTAAAATTTAAATATCCAATGACTGAGATTTCATTACTAGGACTGTATTTTCTAAGGAGGCTAAAGCAAGAGAAGTCCCATCTATTTGTGGGACTATCTATAGATAGATAGATAGATAGATAGCAGCATTATTTGTGGTTAAAAAATACTTCAAAATGAAGTATGTAACCAACAACTGGAAAATGGTTGAAGAAACTGTGGCATTTGAATACAACATAATATTACTTTATATTAAGGAATGAGAACTATAAAAAATTCAGAGGTACTTAGGAAGATTTGCAGTTAGTGATAACTGAAAAAAGCAGAGCCAAAAGAATATATATAATGATTATGACTACATGAATCAATTCAATGCTATATTGGTAAAAATCTACTTTTTTAAAAAAAGTCAGACTCTTCAGTTTTCCCAGCAATTTTTGTCAAATAGTGTTTCCTAAACCCGAGACTGCCGTTTATGTTCTTCTATGTGCTGGTTATCTAGACCATTCCACTGATTTCCTTTTCAGTTTTTACCTAGTACCACATGGTCTAAATAATTCCTCCTCTGTAATATAGTTTGTAAACTGGTTATGCTAAGTCCCTCCCTCTTCCTTACTTCTTTTCATATATACCTTAATATTCCTAATCCTTATGAAGTAAGAAAGCTATAAATTGTTATTGATTCCACAGGACAGTGATCTCTATTTTGTTCACTCATCCAATTAGTAAAAAAATTTTATGCATGCACTGTCAATATGTACATGTATTTATAAACTATATGAATATACTACTATACTAATATTCATGTACATAAGAACATATAAAAACAAATTTTAAAGAATGAGATAAAGATTAAAGACATTTTAAATTTAAATGTTTTGCTTTATTAAAAGAGCTTTGTTATTATTATTATTAATATTTCTAGCAAGAACAACATAATCGAATATGTTTTTTCTAAATCTTGGTTTTAACACTTTGTGCTACACTGATTCATAGGTCTTTTTTTTTTCCCCAATAAATGGTCTTAATGGCTTTCACAGTTGGAAAAATATCTCACAACTAATTACAGTTCCAAGTAGAAGAAGAATATCTCTAGCAGTACATACTAAATCACAGTCTTTTTTTAATCCCATCTGACAATTATGCAAAGGTTTTTTGCTGAAATTCAGCAAATTACTATTCCCTTCTTTCTCGCTATTAATTGGTCTAAAAAATTCCAATGAAAGATTTTGAACAGGTTAGAAAATTGAAGTTTCCTCATCTGTAAAATGAAATGGACAAGATCAATTCCAAGGTTCTTTCTAGCTCTAACATGTTTATATTATGATTATGGGTAAAAAATAAGTCAAAAAGATAACTAAAGAATGCCTTCAAAATGAACTTAAGTTTCTGCCTCTTGGTAAATGGACTAATTTAATCAAGTTTTTGAAGTAAGGATTCAATGAAGACTAAGCAATGGGGATCAAAGTGATAGAATAATACTCCAGAGCAGACTGGTGAATTTGGCAGGTGGAATAGAATACAAAAGTGGATTCAAGGTGGGGTTAGTCGACACTTCAAAAGTGGATTACCACTTCTGATGATGAAAGTTATTAATAGAAGCAAATTTTAAAAGAAAAACAATATGAACTATTTAAATATAGTTTCAATGCCTAAAACTCAGCCATAGGCACCTATACGTATCATTCCTCTTGATCAGGTATCCACAACTTATTTGTCATGTAGCCCTAACTGCCTATTCTTCCCAAGGTTCAGAGCTGTTACCCCAAACTGCAGGTAGTGCCAATTTCCCTTTTCTTCCAGAAAATATCTCACCACCTCAAAGAGTAAGGGGCATTCAAGTTTCACTAAACACCAAGTTTAGGGAACATCCTGGCCCCTATTCTGATCAATTTGATTCAACCTGTTTCTTTAGTAGTGACTTTACTTAATTTGTGGCTTAGGCTGTATCTTCTGAAAGCAGAGCTTTAAAAGCACAATCATCATATTAAGATTTAATTTCAATACAGTTTGAGGAAGAGAAAAATAATAAACCCTTTAGCTTAAAACAATATTTTCATTTCCTGCCAGCAATTAGAAATTTTAATGTGAAGTTCATACAATAATTTTTTTAAAAATTAGCTCAATCATTCTGTCTTAGTAGACTCTTCCAGAGATTAAGGAATTTACTATATTGTACAAAATTTACACTCACCTTAGAAGGAATACAGCCAACATTTAAACAGGTTCCACCAAGTGTTTCATTTTTTTCAACACAGACTGTCTACAATGAAAGAAAATAAACCATTCATGATTACAATTACAATATATAATTCATATTACTAAAATACTAACTACATAAACTACTCTGGAAAATCAGATTTTCATTCTGTATGTCACATATAGTGAAATATAACCCTTATCTTGAATACGCAAGTTCTTTTATATAAAGAACTAAAACTGATCATTAAATTTTAAATTATCATCTTTATCAACAACTCTACTTCTAAAACAAATTAATTTGAGAGAATAGGAAAGAGGACCTGTGACTTCATCACACAGAGATGGTAAACTCCCTCTGCAAACACAGAGTGGCTACTCATCTATAACTTTTATTCTTAAAAGAGCTGACTTGGGCAATGAGAAGTAAAATGACTTGTTCATGGTCACAGAACTAGCAAGCATCAAAAGCAGAACTTGAAAGAACCCAGGTCTTCTTGACTTCAAAGCTAATTATTTATCAACTATGACATAGTCTGAAACTATTTCAACAAATTAGCCCTTGCCCTTTTTTAGTAACTATTCTGTGAACTCTATACCCTTATGATCTAATCTACATACAAATTTTAAGTTTCATATTACCCATCAACATCATAGTTATAAGCCCACATGAAAAATGTTCTGTCAAGTCTATGAAAAATTTATGATATTAACTTGGAAAAGGCAGAACACAGAATGTCTTTACTTTATCATTTCCCTAACTTTATTTTTAGAAGCATCACCTCAAAACCTCCAATTTACTTCATAAGAATAAAGATGTTATTTATCACACTGTAAGCTATTTATCACACTAACAATTATTAATAAAGTTGAATTGGCACTTGACATGAACCTGAGCCTTACTTACCTTAAAGCCCAGTTGAGCAGCTTTAATAGCAGCAACATATCCTCCAGGACCAGCACCTACAACTGTGACATCAGCATCAACTACAACAAAACCAAATGGATATAAAAGATTGAGGATTGTGTTTTCTTTATTCAATACCATAAGTAAACATTCACCTAACTCTTTTTTAACCAGACAAAGTACTTTCATGGGGGTAAGAAGCTCCTGCTGAGGAAATTCTTCTAACAATGCAGGCTGGCATCTGCTCAGCAACTTTTATCCTTTTGAGAGTTGCTTGAAGCACTGAAAAAATCACTAACCCTGGGTCACATAACTCATAGGTTGAAAAGGCAAGACCTTCAGTTTATCTAGGATTACTATTGATAGCTGGTGTTCATAATGCCATTAAAGCTCTGTAAAAACTCAAACTGCTTGAGAAAAATTTTATATTCACCACATATATGTATTGTATTCTGATTCTCTGAAATCTAGTAATTCATGCCTGGCATAAAAATTGCAATAGACCAAAACACTCAAATAACAAGAATACTCTATTCAATTCAATAGCCATTTATTAAGCACTTACTTGCCTCAGACACTTACTAGCTGTGTGACCCTGAGCAAGTTGCTTAACTTGTTTGCCTCAGTTTCCTCATCTGTAAAATGAGCTGGAGAAGGAAATGGCCAACCACTCTAGTATCTTTGCCAAGAAAACCCAAAGGGGGTTGCAAAGAGTCCAACATGACTAAAAAGGACTGAACAACAAATGTGCCAAGCATTCTAGATTAAGAGGGATTTGTTACGTGAAGTTCTATATAGACCACAAATTAGAAACTGTTTATTTTTAAGATTCATGGTAATCAATTAATCAAAAGCTATTTGTTAAGCTCCTTCAGTAGTCCTCCCTTATCTGCAATCTTACTTTCCCAGGTTTCAGTTACCCACCCTCAACTGCAAATTTCAGGGGTTAAAAGGGAGGTGTGAAGGGGGCCACATGTATGTGGAGGGAGGGGGATGGCACACAGTTTAAAGACATGTAGAGGCCAGGGACACAAATTTGGTACCCAAGCATCACTGGAAGGAAAAAGAGACACCCAGGAGCTAGATACATGGGCAGGTGGACAGAGCAAGGCAAAGGTGTCCTCTCTCAGGGCCAGAGGTTTTGAGCCAACCCTCCAGTCCAGAGCGTATCTGCTTTCACTTGAAGGGTTTAAGTTTTTTTTAGGTTGGGTTTTTTGTTTTTGTTTTCGTTTTTGGTGGGAGGTGTGGTAGGTCATGCAGCGCCAAGCTGAGGGGCAGGAACAGAGATAGAGAACACAGTACTATACAGTCAAGTTAACGTAAGTGTTAAAAGTTAAAGGTAAAGGTATTACTTGAGGCTTTAGGTATCCAATGGAGGTCTTAGAACATATCCACCTCAAATATAGGGAAATTATTGTATTATGTACCAGGTACTGGAGGTATAAATACCAAAAACAAACAAACAAAGAATTCTTACTCAAGGAGCATATATCAATGCAAAAAAGATTCCCATTCTCTTCCTCCAAAATGGACAAAAATACAATCTCTGAAGCTGGAGAGAAGATGCCTCGGTACTTCACCTCACAAGTCTCTTTATAATTCTTTTTAGGGGGAAAAGTCTCATTCTCTTAACCCTGTGCAAGTCTCTAAAATAGGGGCTCTTAGTCTTTTTTGAGTCATGGACCCTCCCTTGGCAGTATGGTGAAGCCTATGGACTCATTCTCAGCATAATATTTTTAAGTACATAAACTACTTAGGATTAACCAAAAAAACCATAATGAAAGAATTATATTGAAATAGTTATTAAAATATAAAAGAAAAAAAAATCCATGTACTCCAGGTTAAGAATCCCTAGTAGATTTCCTCTACATACTGAATGCTGTCTGACTGCTGACCTACGGATGATCATTTAATTTGCCAGAAATGCTAATAAAGCTTTTCACTCAAGTGAAAATAGTTCCATATTCCAAAAACTTATATAGTAAATGAAAGCAACTAATTTCTCCCATTGTACACAACACTGTTAAGAAAAAAAAAAATAGAAATTACATCATGGTATCATAGAAAGTTTGGTTAAAAGAGATGCTGGAGATCATCTAGTCCCATCTTTTTATTTCAAAGATGAGAAAAATAAGGCCTTGATATGATACTTATCCAAAGTCAGTTCCAGGAATCAAACCAATAGTCTTCTGACTCCAAGTTCAATGCTTCTTCTACTGCACCAAACTGCTCCCCCTTCCATGAATACAACAAAAATGAAATAAACAATACACCCTGGGGGATGGAGAGAGGGTTAGGGAATCCTAGACCTGTGATTTCATCCTTATAGAGTTAACGATAGCTTCTACAATTACATATTTGGTCTGTACATCAACCTGTGAGGTTGTTTAGTTAGGTACTATTCTCACATTAAAAATGAGAAAATTGAGGGTTGGAAAGGTTAAGTAATTTGCTGAGGCTTGTGCATCTATCCATTTTCTCTCATCCTCAATACATGACCATGTCTTGTATGCATGTCTCTTTGGTAACACACTATAGCCTGATTCCACCCACCAGGAGTCTTTTCATTGTCCTTTGAGCTGTATGTCATTTTAATTACATCAGAAGAACATTCATCTTAAATACTGCAGCCTTAAGCAGTTTGAGAGCACTTCATATTTTCCCAAATAAAATCTAACCCAATTAATTCAACAAGTTACCTGGCCAGCTCTTTATCACAATCTAAGAAGTATACGTTTTTCATCCACTTTGTTTTCCAAGTGTAGATAAAAATTAATCTTTTTCATCAATATGAACTAAACAGATTTTGGAATGTCCAATTCAAATTAACATAATGTCATCTATGACTAAGAGCATTTAAGTCCTACAACATAACTACATAAATTTAAACATAAAAAAAAAAAAGGCAGCCGGAAAATCAATTTAAGTTTCAGATGGCAACGAACCAGCAGGAGAAGCTACTGAAATAAAATATGCAAGCAAAAAAAAAAAAAAAAAGAGGCAGGAGGGGGAGGAATGTTTTAAAGGCCTGGGGATAAAACCGAGAATGATCCCCTTAAATGTGGCAACTAAAGCCTAGAAAACAAATAGAATCCATGAGAGGAAGCAAATAAGAGTTAAAGAAAGTATACACATTGTTCTCAGTATCTGTGCCATTGAAACAAGTTTGTTCACTCACATTACGTTGAAACAGAGAGCTTATCAAAAAGTAAACCAATAGAGATCCAGATGAGAGCCAACATTATACAGGTATCCTTCAATGACAATTTTCTGGCACTTAAAGAATCTCAAGGGGACAGAAAGCTGTTTTAGCAACTAAATCAAAATCTACTATTTACTGAACATCTAGGAAACAAAAATTCAAAAAAGGAAAGAAACATATAGTCTTAAGAGATGGTACCTGACTTAAACGAATTTACAATATGACTAAGGGGAAACAGAAAATGCATGAAAAGTTAAGTAGCAAATCATGAATCTATAATTTTCTAAGTTGTATTTACTTCCTCTGCTGATACAAATCACAGCTAAATGATGAACCTCTCCAAAATTAGGAGATCCTTGGACAACTGACATAGTTCACCATCAAGCCAGTAAAATACAAAATGTAAATAACATTGCAAAACAGCAATGGATGTCCCAAAGGTATATGTGACTTTTGCCAAATAAATAGGACAGTAAGTGCCACTGGAATCTGGACAAGGAAGTTTCCCAATTCCAAAGGCAAATCAAGAAACATAACATAAGGTTTAACATAAGAACTAAATAAATTTAAATCTGGTATATATTTCCATTCACATCTCAGAAAAAGTAACCTAGTACACTCAATTTGTAATAAGCCCAGCATATTCAGTTTGATATAACCTATGAATAGTCACATACATAGATGATCTCTAAGTTATATGACCAACTCTAACATTCTAATCTATAAGTATCAGTAAAAGCTCAATTTTTAATTGTTCAACTCACAAAATTTCTTTACGTTACACTGAAATTAAATGAGATCCAAGGCTACAAAGCTACAGATACAGTTGTTAATCTGTAACAGTTGAAGGAGTCTATATACCTTGATTTCCCTATGAAATCACATGTCTGGTCCTATACACACATATGCAAAATCCCTTTATTTAAAATAATGCACTCATTTCATTTTTTATATTTAAGCTCTAATTTATCACTCACTTAAATAATTCTATAATGTGCTCCTAACCCTTGGGTTTGTGACTTTTCTCCCCAATATGTCATTCATATATAACCTGCAAATATTTGCACATGTGTATATACACACACACATCTATAGATATACATACACACATATTTATCAGTTTATTAACCTCAATGTACTAGGTAAATATCAGTTATTACTATTATCATATATTTCCGTTATATATTATTCAAGGTACATTGGGAAAGAACCAACGATAACCCACCTTAAAGTCAAACAAACCATTGCCCTCTAAAAGCCCAGGAGGCCCCAAAATTATTCTGAAGGATATACAACTAGGTTCTATCTTTCTTATAATATCTACCTCTGTATCTCTTGCTTATGGTTCAGTATATGTTTAATAACTTAATTTCGATATCCTGAACACTATGAAATAGCCAACTATATACCACAGAATGATTCCTTTGTTAATAATCATATATCATTTCCTGCTTTTTATTTTTAGTACAGACACTATCAATTAATCTGACATGAACTGAATTTACCAGAAAAAGCACTTACTTGGTTGATCTGCATAAGTCCTCAAAGGAACTGCAGAAATACCCTGTAGGCCATGAGGCATTCGACTGAAATGGCCTCTCTTGAAGACAAAAAAAGCAAAAATGAGTTTTACAGTATGTAAATATTTATCTGGAACACAGTTCAAAGTTGGTAAGACTACTTACACAATAAACTTATCAATCACTTGTTGCTAATATATTTCCAACTGCATAGTAACATAATTTCCATTGTAATGCAAAAGAAAAGTAGAGCTATCAAAATTTTTAAAAAGAAAAAATGCTCATTGAAGTATTTCTTTTAAATGTTCTGAAAAGAACAGCAAAAGAAAAGTAGAGCTATCAAAATTTTTAAAAAGAAAAAATGTTCATTGAAGTATTTCTTTTAAATGTTCTGAAAAGAACAGCTGAGAAGTTCAGTAGGAAACATAGACAAGCAGAATAGCTTTGAAAAACAAACTATATATAATGCATATTCACATACCAAAAAAGGTCAGAACATGTTTAGTGATATATTCTAGATTTGAAGTATTGTTCCATTTTAAATAGTAAACTATTATAAACTGTAAAAATAATACATTTTCCTTCCTGTCACCTTTTTCAGCTTCCAAGTTAAATTAAAATTAAATTTTAAATTTCTTCAAAAAAAGACTATCATACCAACAGTTTATTGGCATTAACATCTGGCTTCAAAGTTTCTGAAAGTCTGTCATCCTCAGTTTGTCACTTTTATTACAAAGGGCTGACAGACTCCATATAATGCTACCAAAGAAACATATAGTTTCTCAAATGAGAGTTTTAATTATTTTGTATTTATTCTGTATAAATTTATATCTGTGCATGTTGTCTTCCTCAATAGAATATAATCCTTAAGGGTAAGAACATGTTTACCTTTGTATCCCCAGTACCCAGCATAGTTCCTTGGCACATAGTAGGTACTTACTTGCTTAGTGACTGGCAAAATTTCAGAAAATACAGCTACATGTCCTTATAATGCAATTGAAATCCCTTTATTTAAAATGACGCATTTATCTAATTTTTAATATTTTAAGCTCTAATTTATCACTTACCTCAATAATTCTATAATGTGCCCCTAACTCTTTTGTATTTGTGACTTTTCTCCCTAAATATGTCATTGATATACAATCTGCAAATATTTGCTAAGAATATGATGTTTCTTGGTTGATTGGCTATGAAACAAACATTAAGTTCAAATTTTGTGCAAAGCACTATACTAAACCCCAGGGGAAATTTCTAGAAGTTTCAATAAAATATGGTTCCTACCTTCATGGAGCTTTCACTCTAGTTTAGCTTAAGACCCACAACTATGATACCATGTTACTTTTAACATATTTAAAGAGTGGTAAAACAAAGATATATGTGAATTAGGAGGAAGATCTATAGTAGAGGAGGAAGGATTCAGGATCTATCTATTAATCAATTAAGTACTCAACAGTGTCTAGTACATCAAGCACAGTATTGGGTGTTAGGGATATAAATACAACGAATTAAACAATCCCTGCTCCGAAAGGGCTGATGGATAAAGTTATTAAATTTCACTTTAAAGGACTGGTAATAAATTTAAACTCTAAAGAGAAAGGACATTTCAAATATAAGGAATATAGCCCAAGCATGTCAAAGGAGTATGAATGTACTGTAAGATGAAGAAAAAGAAGTGTGAAGTGGGAGGGGGAGGGTTGTAAAGGGGAAAGGGTTGCAGTACAGTTTGGAGGAAGCATAAAAAATGTGGAGGAGAGTAATGAAATAAGATATTTATCTGAAATAATCTAAGAAAAATAAATTAAATAGTTAAATTGTACATTTCTAGGACAATTCTTCAGAAGTCTACACCATCGACAAATTGTATTATAACTTTCAAAACATTCCGTTAAGATGTGTCAGCTAGTATTTTGTGAATGTGGACACTGAGGCACAAGGCCATCAAGCAAGTGAGAGTTTGAAGCAAAACAAAAATTTTAACAATAATCTCTCCATCCAAAATATTACTTATGATAAGGGGAAGCAACTAGTGAAAAGAGTAATAATGACTTTCCCAGGAATCTGAGAAAAAACACAACCTCTCTGGACCTCACTTTCTTCATTTGGAAGATAGTGTGGAAAGAAATGTAAGTCCTTCAAGCAAGGGTAAGAGGATGTCTATTTGTTGAGATTGTCGTGGAGTGGATTTCAGTTGGGCTAGACTGCCAACCAATAGTGAGACTCTGGGATCTCTAAGGTTACCTCTAGCTCTAAAACTATGCCTAAGATGAATATGGTCCAGTTTAATAATTCTACCAGTTCAATTAAATAAACATTTATTAAGCATCTACTATGTGCCAGGCACTGCACTAAGCGCTGAGGATACAAAAAGAGTGATGGTGTCCCCAGCCTCAAGGAGCTTACAAACTAGCATGCAACTTGTGTACACCGAGGGGAAAGGGTATGAGTCTTGAGAATGACGGGCAAAGTAAGCAAACTGAGGCTTGTTCTGGTTTATGAGGTACAGGTAGCAGGTGGAGAAACATAAATGTAAGAACTCGACTTGGAGTGGGGCAAGGCCTAAGATCCGATCCTGCTGAAAATCCTCACCAGCTTGGGAAACCATAAGGCAAGTAACTTCAATTTCCTGAGCCGCCTCAGTTTCCACATTTGCAAAATAGGCATAATGGTACTCTTCTGCCGTGAAGAGTATTTTGTCTTAAGAGTATTTCATCGACAATTTAAGGGAGCTGTAAACAGGATTTCCCAAGTCTCCCAAAGCAGCGTGGTTACTCTGCCAGACTAAGAAGGGCTGCTCCGAGCCACCTGTCCCGGCTTGCTAACCTTGCCAGGCCCAAAGCAGGGAGGCGAGCAGCAGGGTCCGTCCCGGGCTCCCCGGGCACGGGTGACCTTTAAGGGGGGAGGAGGAAGGGGATGACCCTCGGGATCGGGATCCCGGGTGCAAGGGCTGAGGATCTCGGCGGCGCGGAGGAAGCTGGCCTCGCTTCCCGCCTCGGGCTCACCTTAGGGCAAGGACAGGGGGAGGGAAAGTGAGGGTGACCCCGAGGCGGCCGGGAGCGGGGCCTAGGACAACTAGACCGAAGCCAAGCTCTCCTCCCCCCAGGCTAGGGGGCCGGGTGAGAGACCAGCCAGGCCGCGGTCCTGCCCCTGCAGGCTTGGGGCCTAGTCCCGTTAGCGGGCCGGCCTGTTCCCCACGCACTCACCTTCTTCCTGACAACCCCCACCCCGGACGCCCAGGCTGTCCCTCACCTTGGCCAGGGCGCAGGACACCCGGCTCCAGCTCTGCATTTTTCTCTTGGATGACCCCGCCGCCGGGAGCTTTCACCTCCGCCAAAAGCTTCCTCCACAATGCCAAGGACTCGGGGCGCTGCGCCTGCGCAGCCGGCACCTATCCCACGGCCCGCTGCGAGCCCTCGGATTGGCTGAGACGCCCGGAGGCGTGAAGTCCTCCGAGACCGGGCGTGTCCCCGGGAGGGGGTGGGGCTAAGAGTCTTGAAAGAGTCGCTCTCTCTGCCCGGCTAGGCTGGGCTCTTAAAGGGGCCCCTCCGAGCTTACTCCCTAACGTCTTCTCCATGCAGCTAATTCCTTTTCTAAGGGACGGGCAGAGTGCCGTACCTGGAGTCAGGGAGACATCTCGCTGAGTTCCAATCTGGCCTCACACCCTTACTAGCTGTGTGATCCTGGGCGAGTCACTTAACCCTGTTTGCCTCAGGTTCCTCATCTGTAAGAAAACCCCAAATGGGGTCACAAAAAGTGGGACGCGACTGAAAAAAGACTAAAAACAACCGAAACTACAACAAAAGAGGGGTTAGTACGCGTTGGGAATCGTGAATCTCGTCTTTGGGACCCTTGATTTTTTTTTTTTTTACATACTGTTTAATTCAGGGAAGTAATAAATGACTTTAAACTCCCTGAAATTACAGTTTTTTAAGACAGCGGTTCCCGAAGAGTTGTGGATCCTTTACAATCCTTTGACCCAGGAGAAAAAAACAATATTGAAAATAATACTAAGATGTTTTAATTTCTAATACAGTAAACATCAATAGTTATAACCCACATAATCAAATGAGATAATATCTGTAAAGCACAGTGCCTAGCACATAGTACGCACTATATAAATGTGTATTTCCTACACTCTCTTCCCTAAACAAAAGCTCTTTGGGGTTTTCAATAATTACAAATTTGACAATAGGAGAAAAGAAAGGAAAAATCAGATCTCTGCTTTACAGATTTCACTGCCTTCTCATTCACTTGAGATGCAGTGGGGGTAGTGAATAGAGAGCTCACCCCCAGCCAGTAAGACTTGAGTTCACAGTCCTGTGGCAGAAGGGTACTGGATGTGTGACCCTGGGCAATTCACTAACCTCAGGCCCCTAAGAAAACTCTGAGACCCGTAAGTTACAGAGAAGATGATGACCTGCACTGGTAGAGGGAGATTCTACCTAAGAATTTTTAAAACAATTCTAAGTTAAATCCAAAAAAAAATTAATTCACCCTTTCACCTTAACACACCCCTCTCCAACCCTATGGCACACTCTTCTCAATTCCCAGTTTCAGAATCCCTAGTTTCTTTTTAGGCTCACCTCTAATGAGGCTAGATGGATAGAAGATAGATAGACAGATTATACATATAGAACAATGGAATATTTATTAAGTGACAGTTCCTAAAGATATGTCTGACATATCACATACACACACATACACATACACACACTCAATAAACTCCCATGGCTCCTATTACCTCCAGGATCAAATAGAAAATCCTCTGTTGGACTTTTAAAGCCCTTCCCCATTAAAGGATGTGAATTCCTTTTTAGGTGCACTAAATAGAAGAAACAAGTTGCCCTTGTGAAAATAAGCCCTTGCAAATGACATGTTTCCTTGGCTGGATGACAGTATGAGTTGGAAGTAATATGATATAATGTTTTTTAGTTATGTGGGAAGCTAATTGGCAGAGAGCCATAAAGGTCAATATTAGGTACTTTCCTGTGATTTGGACACAGCTCAAACAGTATGCAGAGGTATGAAGGATTACAACTGATCAAAAATTCAATTGACAGTAATTAGGTACCAGGTAATTTCTATTTATTGCTCTGCTAATTCTCCTAAGTGAAAGAAAGGGTTGTAAAGTCTCTGCAAAGCAAGAGGTCTAATCTCCTTTCCTTTCTCCAACATTGTTTATTCTCTTTAAAAGAAAATATTTGGGGTGGGGTTTTGTTTTATTTTAATTAAGGTCCTATCAGTACAAAGCTGAACAGAACAAGTCAGTTAGATTAAGTCCATACCCCCAGGGCAGACTAGCACATTTATTCCTAGCTTGATCGTATATCATGGATTCAAAACATGGCACAAGTAACTCACTAGCTGTGTGATGGCAGGCCAGTCTATAGCAGGCATAGACTACAATGGCAGGAAGACCCCTAAGAGCGTCAGTTTCCTCACCTGTAAAATGGAACTAATAATACTTGTGCTAATTATCCCAAGGTTGTTATGAGAAAAACACTCTATAACTCTGAGCCATTGTTATTAAAAAACACTGCTTGGGACTGCCAGGCTTAATGGAGCCTTCCCAGACTCTTTTTGACTCTGCTATTCATCATCTAGAGAAGCTTTAGGATTAATGGGGCCATGTTAATTATTTCCTCTACAACCCTTCTTGAAGTCAAGTGTCTAACTACAATAAATATCAAATGGCTGGTAAATAGAAAAGCCTTTTGCCTCTTTTTTTCATCACCATGAACCATATTTCCTCTTTAATTTTCATCATCTTGCCCTGTGCTTACTTTAGAATTAAAGTCCTGAGTGTCAAAGGATAGATTGGCTTAATTTGAAGGGTCTTGCTAAGTTCTTCATGGAATTTCTCCATCTCCTCATCCCCTGCAACAAAATAAGCAAATGAATGGGGAAAATGGGAAATGGGAATTTCTAATGGGAATGGGAAAATGAGAAATGGGAAAATTGGAATGGGGAAAATAGGAAAATGGGGAAAATGGGAATAGGAAAAATGGGGGGGGAGGAATCTATTAAGCAACTTTCTATGCAGAGGGCTGTGCTAAGCACTGGAAATACAAATAGAAAAGGCTACCTGGTTCCTTCTCTAAAGGAACTCACTCTCACTGGAGGAGATATAAAACATCAAAGAAAGATCAGCTGCCAGGTCAATTGCAAGGCTGCTACACCTGCCAAGTAGCAAGGCCCAGGACTCCTTAGGTTATATCAGAGGGTCAGATGACAGTGCCAGGGTAGAAGAGCCAAGGCAGATAGAGAGCTCTAGAGGAACTTAGAAAGCAGAATCAGGGCAGATGGTACTCCATTTCAGCAGAAGGAATAGAGTTGATGCTTCCCATCTCATCCATGTTTATCCACATGCAAGCATCTTAGATGGGTTCTGGGTGGCCCTGACCAAGGGTAGAGGTGAGAAGAAAAGGCAAAAGGTAGGGTTCCCCCAACTCCCACAGTGAAGGGTGTTCCTGCTGCCTGGCCTTCCTAAATGCATTGTGGGACAAGACTAGATTAGGTTAGGAAAAGGAGCAAGGGAGTCAGGCAGAAAGGGGAAGGTCAGTCCCTGGGACATTGAAACGAATAGGAAAAAAATAGTTGAGGAGGTTCCAAATATAAATGTCACCTAGATTTCAATTTTTGCCTAGGGTCAGTTCTGGCTTTACATGTACATAAAATGAATAATACCTGATATAAAGATATCCCAGCTATTCAGTCCCAGTTTACAGGGGCATCTTCCATCTTTGAATGAATGAATGAAGGAAGGAAGGAAAAAACATTTATTAAGGTCTGCGCTAGACATTGAGGATAAAAATACAAAAATGAAAGAGTGCTGCCCAGAAAGACCTTACTTTCTCATGGGAGGAGACAATACTTACAGAGGGATGGTAACCAAGGAAGGAAGTTTTGGTCTAGGGAGTTACAGAGATGGTAAGTGTCCTTTCCAGAAGCAAAGATAATACTGATTTAACTACTATTCTCAGAGCAAGTTGTTGAAAGCTGGCAATGATGGGAAGGGATAAGCATAATTATTGTTTAGAATAATCTTAAAACATACAAAAAGCACTTTAATGTGTAATATATGACAAGTTTTTTTATTGTTGTTTTGTTTAAAAAGTACTTTGAGGCAAGTAACATTAGAAGACTTCTTATTAGAACTCTTCTCAATGTAGTAATCAATCACGATTTCAGAGGACTCATGAAGTATGCCAAGAAGTATTGGATTATAGGTGCAGAATGAAGGATACCTTGTCAGACTTGGCTTATGTGTTGAACTGTTTTGCTTAACTGTCCTGCTTTGTTACAATGGAAGATTCTATGTGCAGGGAAGTCATTGGGAAGTGACTGATGTAACAACAACAAAAAATCAATAAAACATTTAAAAAGAAAAAAAAAAGGAACCCAGGGTCACTCTCTCTACCCCCACCCCAGCCCCCAAAAAGGCTTTTACTTTATTTTTATTTCTTATTTTTGCATGAGAATTTCTTAAGAAAATTAGATAACCATATCTAGATAAGCGGCTATTGATTTCAATTTCCTCCACCAAGGCATATCACAACCAGTGTATATATTGGTTAATGATAGCATGCTGTGCTGGCCATAGGACCTGTCACTAAAGGTAAGCCAACTATCCCTGACCAAAGTGGCCTCCAACCTGTCCCCAACTGGCAAAATTGAAATCAGGGCAAGACTTTTGCCCCTACTACTGAGCAGCTGCATCATTACGAATATGACTGCCCACATCAGGTGTCCAGATCCCAGAAGCTATAGTTGTGACAAATCAGTGCTACCCTGGAAAGGAGAAGGGTTCTCTTGTCCAGTGGTTTCTTGGATCCAGTCTTCAGGAATGCATCCGATAAGAATGAACCATTTTTGGAAATACTTCTAACTGATCCTCTGCAGCCTTTCCTTATTTCTTCCCCAGCACAGAGTTGCCTTAGCTTCAAGGGCCTTGCCCCTTCAGATTGCTCCATATACCCTAGAAAAGTAGCTCAGGTTTTCATCAATTGGCAGACTTCTTTTCCTTTGGGACAGTTGAGGAACTTCTTCCCAGAAAATAGTACTATTAGTGTGTCTTGCTTTCTAAGAACATGAGGGAGATGAAATTGTTGCTATATAATTGTGGCAGATGTATACTTACCTGGAAAAAAGGGAATCCGTTTGTTGACTTGGTGATGATTCTGATTCACTGGATGAATGTGGGAGTCCTTATTTAGCTTCTATGGAAGAAAGGCCTCCACAAAAGCCTCTAAGACAGGCAAAGATTTGTATCATTCCCCTGACATAGACTGCAGCCATGTATCAAGCCCGTTCAAGATTTCTTAGAAGACGTAACAAAACAGATAATCTTATTCAGTTAGCCTCTGAT